AAAGCAGTTACCTGTCTATTTACTGGTTTTATGTTTATAGTAGCTGGAGCCACCATATATGTACATATTAACAGTGTAGTTACCTCTCTGTTTATTGATTCTACATCTATTGTAGTTGAAGCTACCATATATATTTATATACATAGTTATATATTTATATAGATGCTAGCTGGATTACCCATCCCTTGGATGGAAATTATATAAATTCATGATTAATGCTCATATATTTTTTTTCAGCTGAAGCAAACATTCAGACTGCTAAACTGTGTTTTACCATTCTCATTTGTATTGCTGAGGTAATTTTTTCTTTTTTTCATAGAGATCTATCATAAGACTTGAAAAGACAAAAATTGATGTTTTCTATATATCTTTATTTACTTTTATGTTTTAAGAAAAATAACTGAAATTTAAAAACTTATTTGTAAATAGCAGTAATATATATGCATATGTAATGTATTTTACAAAATACTGGTTCTCTAGCACAAACCGAAGACTGACTACTTTGTAATGGACAGTTTTATACTATTGGATATGGTAACATGACTGCACTTGTGCATCACTGCAACTTCTGTAATACTAATCTGGCATGGCTGAAAGACCAATGAAATAAAAAAAATATATATATATATATGTATAATGTTATGAGACTAAACATTTATAGTTTCTTGTTATAATTTATAGTCATTTCAGAATGAAAAAAGCATAACTTATATCTATTTCCTTATTTTTTATATTGGTTATGAGGTTGGTCAAATCAACCAAACCCGTTCAGAGATACAATAGTGAAAATAACATAAAATATAAAGCTTTTTCTAACAAAAACTTTAGATAATTATCTGGAAATTATTAGAAGGTTACAAAGATTTTACATGTGTAATTTGACAATTTTCTGATGCATAAAAATATTTTTAATCTTAAAATCAAAATTACTTTGCATGTTGGATAGTAAACATTTCAAAAGAAAAAATGCATGAGCAAATCATTACTTAAAAAATATTAAAAGTTTGATATTTTGTGTACTAAAGCCTTGTAATGTTTACTGGTAATCTGCAAAATTTCATAAAGACATGCTTCCTGTTTTAAAAGTTATAGTTTGAAAATTGTAACAAACACAGAATGGTTACAATGTCGGTTTTTGGGACTGAGCCCATAGTGAAAGAGATAATACTGTTTCTGGGTATGTGAAATAAAACTTTCGACTGACAGTTTCCAAAGATCAGACAAATAAATTTAAATAAATTTCACATTTGCCTTGGTTTGTTACACTAATCTATTAGATTCATTCATAAATGATGTCTCAAACTAGAGTGGTTGAAGTGGTTGTATCATTAAATATTGTAGTTATCTATCATCATTCTTATTTTTGTATAACATCTGAGTGTTTGATGTTGTTTACAGGAAAAGTTATGCTGAGAAGAATGTCTTCTTTCTGAGCGTGTCTATTAGATACAATCATTTTATAATACTGGTCCATTCCACTCATTTTCCCCTGAATGCAGTTCTGCTAATTGTATTCTGACTTTGATTGGCTGTGTACTTTTTTTTTAGTCTAGATTATCATCATACTGCCCTGTAGTTTAATTTTTTTTCTTTTCATGTTGATTAGTTCTCGCCTTCTTTAATGGTTAGGTATTCTGTCTTTCAGTATTTGAGAGGTAAGTATTCCTGATTTTAATTTTACATTTTTAAGGTGAAATAAGTTTCAAACTGGTACTTTATCTGAAATAACTTCTCTCCAGCATACCCACAACTGAATTTTCATCACAGCTACAACTTTCAATAAAATTTAAATTGTGGTAGGAAAACAGAGCTTATGTAAGATCCTCTGATGCTTGCATAATAAGTCATATAGAAGGTGGGAGAGAAGAGAAGTATTTTTGTTGATGTATGATCAACATTTATTATTTCATAGGTTAGTACCTGTTTGAAATTCATTTTAATCCTAAAAATGTAAAATTTGATGTGGTGGAATTATATTTGTCAGGCCCATAAAATTTGTTAAGCAACATAAAAATGAACACATACTGTTTGTTGTGCTCCATCTGATGTACAGTTGATATGAACTGTTTCTCAGCTGAACAGGCTATTATTTAGAAGCTATTTTGCTTCATAATTTATTTCTTAAATCTGTGTTTTAAAATTTACATATATTTTCTTTACAAAGTGTTTTGGTTATTTGACATTATAAAAATTGAATTTGTACAACATGGGATTTTCTTTAACTACTTGTGCTGCTGTTTTGAACGACTTGTAATTTATGTTCTCTTTTTCTTCTTAACCAGGATCAATATGCTAATTCTATCATGCATGATATTAACATGGTTTTTAAAGTTCAACTGCACAGAGTGGTAAGTAGCAGCTACCTTTAAGAATTTATTTAGGTTATTTTCATATTACCTAGTTCAGGCCTTGACAAATCCTGGGCACCAGGTCACCATGGTGACTAAAAATTTCATATTGGTGCGTAGTTGTTTTTTCATTTTATTCTTGCATAGGGCTGTGCTAAATGGAACTCGATTCTAGAACAGTTCAGGACTCTTTGAAATCCGGAACTATTTTCACGTTCTTTGAGTCCTAACTCGAACTTTGTTTCTAGGATTTTAATGGTGGATTCAACCCTTTTTCAAGTTTTTTCAGGAGTGAAGTGCTGTGGTTGCACAACATATTACTAATTTCATGCCATTTTGTTTTTCTTCTTTCTTTTAATTCAAACAATCAGTGTGCATGTTTAGACTCGGATGGGGTCAAAAACAGTTAGTTCAGGCAATACTATCAAGTGGTTGTTGATATCATGATGATTAGCATGCACTCGTTGCTGTGAAAGTAAATAAATATATGTAGCCCCCATTTCCCAGTACAAACAATAGTGAAGTTAGGTTAGGCAGACCTGGCTCCTAAAAATATTTGTTGAGGCCTGACCTACTTGATTTGTATATACTCCTTATGCACATTAATTAATAGATCCTTCTAGAAATGAAGTAGACACACATTTTGCTAGTTCTACTAACACCAGTTATGATATATTATGTTTATTTTCTTTGTTTTAGGCTTTGCTGCTTAGGAAATGCAAAAGTGCAAGCTCCTGTCGTATCTTGTTATTCTTGTCATTGATTAATCTATATAGAAATTTCAGATTATAATTTAGTAGCCAATTGACTTTCGACAATGACGCTTTCTCTTGAAAGAAATGTGTAAGTAGTGATGTCTACAGCTAAAGAATGACATAACATATACATGTATTTTTTAATTTTATTATATACTTGTTAATAAGATTTTACACCAAAAAACTATCTGCACTAACCCAGAAATTCAAAGATATTTTAGTGTACACACCCAGTGATGCTACATTTAAAAGAGAAATTGTACAAAAGTGAATCTTATATTAAACTATTAAAAACTTACCGAGGCTTACATTGGTGATTAATGGGGTGTGTCCTGAAAGTACCACCCAGGGTTTAATCATCATTGTTTGTGTTAAGGCAACAAGTTGTACAATATACACACCAAAAAGTCACACATCTTGCAAAGTATGTTAAAATATATTTTCAATTAGTTTTCAATATTACACATTTTTGTAAAAATATTTAAACCAATCAATTATGTCTTTTTTTTCACTTTTTAAATCAGTTTTAGCCTTGCTGAAATTTGCAGAGTTTCAGAGATTTTTACATGATACTGCTCCTTCACTGCAGGTAACTTAGTTGATACTAGTGCTAATACATTTTATTTAAATAAGCATGTGAAAAATGAATAAATCAACAGATCAAGCTCACTCAGTCCATATTTAATGTGCTTGTTAATTGACAAACACTTACATTGTGAAAATTGGTAGGAAGAGAAATGTTGTGTTTATTTTAATTAAAAAACATGTGAAAGAGACCATTCATGTTTTGCTAACAGTGATTTCCATTTTTGCAGATTTTTAAAGCAAAACTTGTCTTAATTTTTTGTCTGGTACTGTGTTGTTTATATTGTTTTTCATTTGAATTTTTACAAGTTTCAACTAGAAATTTAAATTTTTAAAATAAAGAATTTTACATTTGTAGATAGCACTATAATTTTGACTGATATTTTTATGTAGGCAGTTCATTGTATGTTAATATTTTCAGCCCATGAGACACCGTAAAGTGTCATCAGAGAGACGTTCTCCATCACGTCCTCTTGCTTGTGCCATCCTTGACCTAATGGTTGAGTTCATCTTCAGCCACATGAGAAAAACACTACTTTTGGAACTTTTTAAGTGAGTTTGAACAACTGGTAGAATCATTGTAATATTACTTGTTACATCATGGAATTCAGATCTTAAAATTCAATTATGCATTAGATATACATATTTATTTGAATTTTTAGTTTAGTGCCTTACTAAGATTTACATGTTTCCACAAGATGCTTACGTAGTTGAAACAGTAAAGAAAACTTTTTACAGATGTTTCTTATTTTTATGTGATAAAAGTTAAGAAACCACATCTCAAGGTTAAAGTGAAGTTTTATACCAAATATGAAGTATTCTGGTCATGACTGGGCTCCATGAGCTGGGAAACTACATTTCAAGGTTAAAGTGAAATTTTATATCAGATATGAAGTATTCTGGTCATAGTTTGGCTCCATGAGCTAAAAAACTACATTTCAAAGGTTAAAGTGAAATTTTATATCAGATATGAAGTATTCTGGTCATAGTTTGGCTCCATGAGCTAAAAAACAACAATCTAAAGATTCAGTTAAAGCTTAGTTTTTTTATATGTAAGCTCTTTGAAGCTGAAAACTATCTAAAAGTAGTCTCAGCATTAAGCACGAGGGCTTATAGGGCTAAATTTCTGGGTTTGATCTTTATTGTTGACACAGCACAGATAGCTGTCACTGCTTGTTTTGTCTTGACTTGTTGACTGCTTTTATCCTTCACCAAAAATACTAATACTAAATATGAAGCCCCATGTATTATTAGATTCACCCTTAGTCACTGAGTTAGTCTGCTTCTCATCAACAACCCTGGACAAGGGCAAATGGAAAAACAAAATTAAGTTTCTTATAATGGTGATCTGTGTATTATATGCTTGGTATTTTTGTTGCCTTTTATTCACCACAGTGAACCTATGTTAATATAGGTTTTGAAGAAAACATACTAGTGATGATACTAATTTATTCTTCTGGATTATTCAGCAAGCAATTTGTTTAAAGTATCTAAAAAAAGATATATGAAGCTCAATCTAACACATGTCACAGCTCTAGATCAGTTTCAAGGAATTCCACCTTTCACAAGTAAACTTAAACAACCAAATTACCATACAAATAATATATATTTCACCACTGTAAAAAGCCTTGTTTTGTTATCAATTTGTTTCTTTCCAGAGTTAGTAATGAAGGGTGGAATTTCCAAAAAGTGGTTTGAGTGACAAGTAGTGAATCAAATGATTGATTGAGATTAATATTCCTTTTTAGTATCTTACTGAATAATTGGAAAGAATAAATCAGTAGTACTGATACTACATTTTCTTCAACTTCTATAAACATGCGTTAACTGTGGTGAGTACAAGATAATCAAAACACCAAAAATATAATAATAATTTCCAAAATACATTGCTTTTCCGTTAAGATATTGAAACTACTCTTTATACTTAGTATCATAAGTACCCTGTCATGTCAGCTAGAAACAGCAGTAATAAAGAATTCTAACAATGATTCGATCACTTCTCCAATCAGCTTATTTCCCTGTGAAAGGGATGTTTTGAAACATCCAATCAGTAGTAGAACTACTAAATAAAAATGACAGAGAATTTGTGGAGTTCAGCAATTTAGTTAACAGTGCCTGACTGAGAGAAACAAAGGGCGAAATTTTTGATAATTTTGTTTTGTAATGAACAAAGTGCACATGTCACAACATTTTACAGAGTTACATTCAAAATTAACTAAACTACCTTATTAACAATGTATATGAAAAAACTTGGCATCAAATTGTGGTTAATAAATAAAATTTTAATATATTTAAGTTCTTAATTTTTTAGAAAAATCTTTAAAAGAATCCTCAATCTCCCCTAGTGTGAGAACTGTGATGTTTACTGTCTAGATTTTCATTTTCTCTAAATGATGTATTATATTATGTTGTTTTATGTACAGAGAATTTTCTGTTTTGTTTCAATTCAAACTTTTTTCCCAGGTGGAACACATTGATTAGTTTAGCTGAATTTTTAATAGCTCTTATTGCATAGTTAAAAAGATAGAAATGTTATGATAGTTATAGGACATTGTCTGCTTGTAATTTGTTATTATTGTGGTTCTTGGCTGCATTATTTAATTAAATAAAAAAATATTTAGTGTAGTAGTACCATTAGTACAAAAATGAAAGGTTAAATTTCACTGACAGTCAACAGCAAAAAAAAGAAGTTAGGTAAATATTATGTTTCTTGTTTTTCATGTGTATTCTTCAGTTGTTATTATAACAGTAACTAAAATCTAAAAATTAGAAACTTTTTACTGAAAAAAAACAGATATTATTTATTTAGGGAGTATTGAGGATTTCTCAAATGGAATTTGTAAATTTTCAGATGAAGAAAAGCATTTTTAATTTTAACATGAAAATCACTGCACTCAGAGCAGTCAACACTGACTTCATATAATTATGGACAAAATTGTAATAAAAATACTTCACTAAAAATTTTGATTATTTGTCTACAAAATACCTTTAATATTTACTGAAGGCTTGCAAAATTTTGTGAAGATAGCTAAATACTTTCAGGGGTATACCAACTTTAATATATTATGGTTACAAATAGCAAACCTATTGAGATAAAGATAAGCTATATTTAATATCAAAATGGTTTGCGCATGACCTGCTGTTAAGTGCGCCATTGCAGAAAAAAAAAATTGTGCTCTACACTTTAGGGTGGTTGGTGTGTTATAAGAATGAAAGCTAAATCCTCATTATTAAATTAGACTAATCCAATTGTTGATAGTAGGTACTGATGAATAGCTGTCTATCATTTCAAAATTGGGATGACTACCACAGTATACGAAACACAAACAATCTAATATGAAACTGAGTGACATATTAAAGTTTTATTTTAGCTATAATTGTAATACTAGTAAACCTTCATAAATAATTCATAACAGCTTGTTTTGTAAGTTAATATGGGTCAGAGCAGAAAGTTAAGCCTTGGAGAGTTATAAGGCTTATCATTTGTGTTTTTGTCCATTTTAACACATTAGTATTTAAATTAATATAATAAAATTTAATATCTCCAAGTTTTAGTGCAGACCTAATAGGAAGTCTTCTTACACTATTAATCGATAGGGTGTGCTCTAACCAGTGAGGTAAAGTGATTACAGTGTGGTGTATAGTAGTATGTCAGAATTCAAAAACACGTGAATAAGTAGCAAAAGTCAATAACATGGTCCTAGAAACAGTACACAAAATAATGCATACCTCAAGCAGCTGGAGAATGAAATGAGTATTCATACTATACTGCAGGGCTATTGTCAAGATGCACAGTTGCCAGATAGAGCATGACTAGATTAGAAACTTGGATTGTTTCTAAACAAATAAGGTCCTTGAATGTAAAGAATTTTTGCTTAAGCAGTGTTCCTAAAATAGATTATTTTTAATCTGTAAGTGCACAAGAACTTTTGGAAGCTGCAAAAGTAGAAAACACCTGCGCAATTCTACCCACACATTGTACCCAGTCCATGTACTAAAAACGCCTGACAGAAAAACAAGACTACAATTATTCTTGTCACAAACTTTTCTTTCCTATTTAAAGTCATTTAATCAAAATACCATTTACAAAATTAGCAAGTACTTATAACATTCCATTGTAAAATGATTTAGTAATTAAATTTTTTTCCCTGTCACAATATATAGAAACATCACATTATTTACCACAGCTTGGGTGTGACTTGTTGAAGGTCTCTTCATGATGATCCTTTTGCTTCTAGTTAATCCATATTTCTTTGTTTCCAATGCCATTAAGTACAAGAGATATCCCCATGCTGGAATTTCTAAATTCCCAATCTAAATATATCTTTGCCACCTGAGTGTATGAATATTTTGTATTAGAAAATATTATTACATACACTTCCCAAAGTAATTCAGTTCTTAATGTCATTACATTACCAGCAAAATGCCAAGCAAAATACATGACATTCCACCTTTAATTTATCTTGGCTGTAGTTGTCATGTGAGTTGATGATATGAATATTCAAAGTTGTCTTAATATAACATACTTAACCCTCTGTATTAATGTAGTTTAATCTTTCTTCCTGTGAATAGTAAGATTATAAGAAATAGTGACAAAAATGTTTCAGTCAATTATTAAAATAAAAATTCTATGAACTCCAGTCTATACCACAAATTTTATTCTAAAAGATGTAGCTGAGCATAACACAAAGCTTTTTATTACAACCCATTAAACTTTTGTTAACAAAACCAGTGACATTGTATAAGTAACTCTCATCAATTGCTTATTTTTTTGGCCAATAAACCTCTAATCTATCATCATGCTTCTAACAGTCAGTACACTTTCTACAAGTTCATTGAGCTTCGGAGCATTTTTAAAACTAAATATTTGGTTTACTCTAGCACAAGTCATCATCAAACTTGATGTTGAGTTTGCTCTAGTCAGCCATCTTTAAACCTGCAACTTTGTTGATCTATTCACTTACTATCTTCATACTGGGGAAAAAAACGTTTGATATTGTTTAGGAGATTTTAGAGATTACATAAATGAAATTTGACAATTTTCAGATGAACACAGTTATTTTTAATCTTAATATGAAAATCACTTTGCCCATGGAGCAGCCTAAACTTTGACTCCATATATTCATGGAGAAATATTTAGTAAAAATAATTCATTGAAAATTCTGATTTTTTTTTTTTTTCTTCAACAAAAGACTTGTAATGTTTTCTGAAAGCTTGCAATATTTTGTGAAGATAAACAAAACATATTAAAAGTTATAGTAAAGAAACTCTAAAGGTCCATTTGGGATCACAAACTCGGTTGAATTAACTGAACTTATAAGGATAGGGTTAAATGTTAATTTATTATCTACATTTTGGTGCCAAGTTTATTCATATATAATGATATACAGTTGTTTAATTGAAAAGTCATATCATGCACACTTTGACCTAACAGTAGGATGAAGGTTAAATAGTTAACCATCAGAAGTAATCTAAAGACACAACAATTTATTTCAACTACAGTAGGAACCTTACTAGAAGCTCATCAAAATTTTGTATTATATGTGGTCTGTGCCAGATGGAAGTACGTCATATCTTTGAACAAAGTGTATATTGAAATAAAGATTTGCAAAAGTCTGGGTATATATTTGTACAGCCAGTGATACAATATTTCATGATATTGAACATGATGTGAAAGTTTTTCCAAGGGATTTATAATGGTATAGGTTATAGCTTTATTGGTAAGTTAAACACCTGGAAGGTAAAAAAAAAACGTCAGGTTGAACTCTGCATACTATCAAGCTTACATTCAGTAACCACTATACTATGAGGAATTGTGACTTCTGTATTGAATGGAAGCCAGTTGGGTATGTCTTTATTCGATAAAGCATCCATCCACATGTCCATTCTATATGTCAATGTCTCTGCAAATTGCAAAAACAAATGGGAATTTTTACTACACTATTCACAGACTTCTTCCATAGATTTCTGTGTCTTTGCATCATTCAAATGGACAATTGAAAGTCATTTTCTGCACAAGATTGATAAACTTTGAAAATTACAGGAATAGAAGGAAGACAACAATGATCTCAGTAAATTGCATAGAATCGTCCTGCAATGGAAATTACACTCCAGAGAAGCAGTTCATAACCAAGAATATCATGTAAAACATCTGGTGGTAGAAACAAAGGCTGTAAGGTTTAGACACTCATCCTTGTGTCATTGTGATAGGCAGTGAACACTCCTTTGCAGTCTTCAGACATTAGGCAATGTTTATTATAGTTTATTACTTTCAGAACTGAAGGCTAAATTTGCTCTATATCCAACCTTTAGTATTTGCAATCTTTAATTCTATGGAGCTGTTTACAGTATACATGAAGTGCTTATATCTTTCTGAGACTTTTTTATTCTTTTGTCACATGATAATTATGGATTATCAATCAGAAATGGAACTTTTGTATTAATTAAGAAAAATTATATTTCTAACATAAATGATATGAAGTTCCTTTTGATATTATTTAATCATTCATTCTTTTATTTATCTACTGGCTTGACCCCTGGTGGGTCAGTGCTAAGTTACAGGCTTACAACACTGAAGTCCAAAAAATTTATTGAGTAAAAACTAGAATGAGAAAAAATAATTATCAACCAAAAATTTTTTGAGAGTGAAAAATATATTTGAATTAAACAGGTTAGATAAATAAGAATTCAACAAAATTAATAAAGTTAAAAGAGATGTGATACTCGCCCAACTGTTTGAGAAAAAAGGGATTGAAAAATTCACATGGTACTGTCCATCTCCAGTATTTTGATGAACAAATTATTTAGTCACAATCAGGAGAAACAGGGCAAATAAAAGATAAGTTTTAGTCCTAGGATACATAGGTAACATTAGTTTCAATTTTGTAAATGAAGAATACTGAATGCAGGGTGGTTAATTTTCCCAGAATTCAGCATGATTGGGTGTTGTGTAAGGAAAGTTAATTGAGGTTAATGTTAATTAAAGAAATAGATGATTGTCAAAGAAGAAACTGGTGATTGGGTCCAAGAGACCCCTCCTATACTTCCTAGAGTTAACCATGTTTGCTTTGAAACCTCATTCTGGCTCAGAAATAATATTATATTCATCTTTATCTTGTAGAAATCTGTGTTATGCTACAATACGTGTGTCATTACTATATAACGTACTCTTGATCAAACACAAATTTTGTGACTTCATACCATATACTTAAAGAAAATAATCTGAACAAGCATAAATCTGAGAGCTGCTGTGATTCAAATTTGCTTTAGCCAACTAAATTAACTCATTTCAAGTACTATAAGTTTTCATTTCACTGACTATTAACAATATTAACTTCTGTTAGATTCTACTCTTGATAACCACTGAAATATAAAGTAATGCTTAAGACATTCAAAACACTGTGACTGATAGTTGGCTAAAGAATTATCTTGATCAGTGGAGTTGCATGTTTTAAATTCCAACTCCAAAAATGGTGTGTCAAAATTAAATTTTCTATAGTTAAACCACTTATTACAAATACTTGGTACTGTGCACAGCATGGTCTGTATAGCTTAATTTTATACTACCATGTATTCAAATTCAACGTGTGTGATAATGCCATGTAAAAGCATTACACTTATTGTCATAACTTAACCATAAGAAGCTATATAATTTTAATAATACTATGCTATTATATTTCAGTATATAAATTAAAATAATATCATAGCAAATATATTTTAAATAGATCTTTTTGTTTATTTGGTTTGTTTTGAAAGTGCTGTAAAATTTGCTGAAGAGCCCACATGACTCAAGCTAAGCTTATTTGTAATTTTAATTACTTTAGTCAACCTAAACAGTTGTACATATATATATATAAATGCAGTTCTTACTATGGATTACGGAATACTTCTGTTTTTAAGAATCAGTTGATCTTCTGAGACCAATAAATCTAAAGATAGGAAATTCCACCCATTGGAACTTTATGTAGGGTCTTTATTTTTTACATACATATACACACTTTAAATTCCCAGACTGTTTAATACTTTCTTTTAGAAAAATGGCTAGATGTAAGCTAATGGTTAGTATGGCAGACTTTGAATCAGAGGGACCTTGGTTTATGTACTGTTACCGTCATGCTCTGTACTTTTAGTTTGTAGGTGCATTATAAAGGTGATTGACATATCCCATTATCAAATTAGAGTAACCTAAGAGTTGACCATAGGTGCTGTTAACTAGCGGCCTTCCCTGTACTCCTACAAAATTAAGGATGGATAGCAAAGAAAGCCCTTATATAACTTTACAATAATATCCAAAACAAACAAATATTTAAAGAAATACACACCAACTAAGAATATATATATATATACACACACACACACATACACACACAATTTTTATTGTGTGATGTATAAAACAGGTTTATAGAATATGAGTTTTAGGAAAAGCAATTCACAGCTCACAACTGTAGGCATAGTTTTTGAAACCCTGACAGATAATATAGTTTAATGAAGTGTGAGATACTAATAGGAATTGTCCTTCAATATAAACTGCTATATTCATTCTTAAATACTGCACACCTAAACTTGTATCAGCTGGCTAGAGAGTGTAAGTACAATTAATGTTATATAGGAGGGTGATGTTGCAATAACTCCAGTTAGCCAGTTGTTGAATAATACAGAGTGATTATAAATAAATCCCCTATATAGGAGGGTGATGTTGTAATAACTCCAGTTAGCCAGTTGTTGAATAATACAGAGTGATTATAAATAAATCCCCTATATAGGAGGGTGATGTTGTAATAACTCCAGTTAGCCAGTTGTTGAATAATACAGAGTGATTATAAATAAAGCCCCTTATTTAAGATGATTATATCTTGATATATTTAAAACTATTTGTTGTAGGGGAACAAAATTTCACCAGAGACGAATTAAAAATTAAAGGATATATTTAGGAATGTTTGGACTTCTTATTTCTCTTTCCTGGACAGTATTTATTGATTCTTGCAATTTCATTTCTAATGACTGTCAAAGTAATTCAATATTCAAAATGTATCTGGTGCAGATCTATAGTTCTCACCATTCAGGAAGTGGACATCAGATTTCTTTTTACAATTACCTTTTGATAAAGCAAAACTGCTATCATTTTCATAGCAAAGTTGGATAATAGCTGCACAATTTTACACAGTGACACTCATATTTTTTAAATCACCTCTCATATTGTTGAAAAGACAAGAAATAATGAAATAAAAACAATTAAGAGAAAATGTTTTTAGGTATATAGCATAATATGATTGTCAATGAGTATCTGGTGAAAGTTACTCTCCAATGAGAAGAGGTTTACAAAGACAGATCCATATTCATTGTTATTACATGTTTGTAATAACAATGAATATGGATCTGTCTTTATAACTATTGTGTAAGTTAATCCTTTGATTATAAAGTATTAAAGTAAGATTAACAGTGACTTGTATACTGTTTTGTTCTCTCAGGTTGTCTTTCTTTTCTATAGGATTGTTATAGGTGTTTATTTTGTCTCGTTTTCCTACATTAGTGTTCTACATGGGCTCTAATATGCCAACTTCATATGTTATTGAATTTTAGTGCAAAGCTACACAAAGGAATTAGCTAACTGTGCTTTATCCACAATAGGGAATAAAACCCCAAATTTTAGCACTGTAAATCTGTAAACTTACCACTGGCCCACCAGGGACTTTTATATTGTGTACATGAAATTTTATTTGAAATACTAGCACAGACTCATCTATTGACTGAGTTAATGATAAAAAACATGTTCTACATTTTTAAATGTTTTGTCAAATTCTAATCACTAGAAATGTAAATGATATTACCAAGTGAACAAAAATATGATATTTGATTATAGAAAAATTGTAGTTAGAAATTTAGAAGTTCATTTTCACAACTTTGGATCAAGTTTAGAAATAACAAATGAAAACTTAGTAAGCATGCAATTTATTTGGCATTCAATTTGTTGTGTATATAATTTTATTTCATGCTCAATTTTAAAATAAGGTGTGTTTTTTTGTTGAGCTGTTTTGATCCTAGCTAAGTGTTGAAAAAGTCATTTCTTTCTAGTCGCTGTCTAGGAATCATTCATCGATTGTTGTGCTACCAGAAAAAGTGTCGGGTACGACTACAGCATAATTGGAAAGAACTTTGGACAGGTGTGTGGTTCTTATTTACTTTAACCATTTTACTGACTTAGAGGGGTTTTTTTTTCCTGTTTTCTCATAACATTTAATTTTACATTTTTTTCTTTAATTTGTTCACTAGTAGTTCAGCATTTTCTGGTTACAGCAAACTGTATATGCATTAAAAAGCATAAACTCCCCACGCAAAACGTACAGACATACTTGAACACAAATATATTACAAAACAGAATACACAGGTTAAGAAAGATTGAATATATTCTGAAATGGACTTACCTCCTCTCACTCAAAAGCTATCTCGATCATTGTTTTCATGAATTTGCATTTGAAATTTTCTCGTTCTCGATTTCTATGTGTTTTAATATAAATTCGAGGTTTTCTGTGGCAGATAATGTTATTACCATGACAGGCAACAATGGACATGGCACGACTTCCCAGAACATTGGGTCAACTTTATCTGCTGAGGAAGTGCATGCCTTAATTCGTAGGGAGCTAGAATCTTACATTCGGCCAACGTTTTCTTCTTCTTTTCAACGTGACATTGTTTCTGAGGATGAGGACACTCATTCAGTTGCCACTTTTGTGTCTCTTTTTTTTTAAAGCACCTTCCCCCAATTGCCAGTCACCACATCTTTCAAGTGGGGGGAGCTTTGTTTCCTTCCTTTCTTCCTCTAGCTTCAAGTTCTTCCAGAAGATTTGTGGTAACTTTTTGAACATGTACACTTCACACCAGTTTGATATACCTGTAGTAGGCCTGGTTCCAATGCCCTTTGCATTGTTATCTACTAGATATGGCTGTGTCTTCCTCCCATGGACATTCTAAACATGTCCCTTTGTCAGGGGTAAGTCTTACTGCTTCCTTTCATCTATGTTTTCTTTTCAGCTTCCCTAATCTTAGCATCTTCTTTACGGATCCCACCTTGTGGCAAGTGTTGTCTAGTCAGGTATGCTTTGTCTCAAGCCTGCACTAAATGAAGTAACTATATAACACTCATGGTTAAGGTGAGGTATTTCTGTAAAGCCACTGGGTGCTTTCCTGGTGATGTATATGTATATCTGTGTATTAGAAATCATTAACACTATATCTGGTGGACCACTACTCATGGACTTCATGAGTAAAGCAGAAGGGGATTTCTGCCAATTCTTTGATTCTTTAATTGGGTTCAGTCTGCTTTTCAAAATAGGGAAACTCAGTCACCCATTTTACCCTGTGTGATGTTCCTCCAGACTCCCCACTGCCTTTTTATCCTCCTATTTTTCTTCTAGTGAAGCATGGGAGTCTTTACCACTCTCAATTCTCAGTCACTGGTAGACCACGGGGCCTTCCTCGTGAATGTAATTCCATGGTACTATATTCATGCTAGTTTATCCACTCAGTGAGAATAGGACAAATCTGGTTTCCTATGGGCACTTCCCCCAGACGTTTTCTGCCTGGGCAGACCACCCTAAAAAAAACAGTGATCAAATAATTGGGGCCAGCCTACATGGGATCCTCATCATAATTCCAGATGACAATGCCCTGTTCTTACAGTTATGTGTAGTAGATGTCTCTCTTCTCATTAATTCCAGATACAGGATGTCTCTGCCCTGCATTTACAGTTGAGTGAGTTATGATTTTGACCATAATACTGGTTACAGCTTTCTCTGTTCTTACAGGTGAGTTGATGTGATGTCAAGACCCTGTAATCCCAGGTTTGGTTTGTCATACTTCTTGCTCCCACTGTGTCAGGTTACAGCTGTTGCTTACTTCCTCTTCGTAATTCTGTTTGCTTGATGATCCATTCTGTATACTTACGGTTGGGGTTGTCGGGTATCGATAACATGGTTCACATGTTTTTTGTTGTTGTTTTTTGTATTATATGTTGTTACAGCTTGCAAGCACTACCTTTTTCTACCCATTTTGTGTTCCTTTCCTCATTCCTGGGTGAAGAGCATACGTGTTCCAGAAGTAGTGTGGTACCCCACAGATGTGCTTCATTTTCACCCCTGAGCACATCCGTTCATTCTGGGTGGTTGCTTTCCACTTGGTTTATTTTTTGTGCCCTCCACTTTTACAATGTGGGATTCTAGATTTTGTGTGAGAAGAGGCAAGCTCATTTTGGAAGTTAACATTTTCTTATACTGAAAATGTATGTCTGATAGGTACTTACCTCCTCTAACACACAATTCCTGCCCTTTCTCCCCACTAAAACTGCTGTTTTTATTCTAGTACCTGCAAATTCTTGAAAGTGAGGATTGAGTGGGAATAGCAGAGAGAACTAGCTGTGCTGTTATAGGTGGTGCAATACTATTGGTAGAGAATAGTCACATGATATGTACATGTTCAGAAATGGCATAAAACTGGTGGGGTATAAAGACTGGTGCACTGATTCCAAAAAATCTTTTAGCAATGCTTAGAGGGCAGACAACGATCGAGATAGATTTTGTGTAAGAAGAGGTATGTATCTATCGGAAATACTTTTCAGTGTAAGAAAATGTTAACTTTCATAATTTTAAGGTAAGTATTTCAGCTTTCCTCTACTCACTTTGCAGTTAGAGCTGACAGAACTTCACATGGTAAGCTGCAGGAACCTAATACTGAAACCCACTGAAATTGAGCAATTTTGAGTGGAATTGATTGACATTGATTAGTAAGAGCAATAAGAAATGTTCTCAAGGCCTTAAGGACAACTTTCAATCGGAACAAATTATTGTAAAAGCAAGATAAAAATACCAGAAAATGAAACTACACAAGTAAACCTTAACATGCTTTTTAATACTATATTCTGAAAAAATTAAAGTTCCCAAATTAGTCTTAACAACTGTCTTTGTCTCCTAACGTTATGAGACTTGTACTTATTGATAGAGAATACACTAGACTTATCAACCATTTTATATAAGATTACCAGACTCATACAATATTGATGGAGCATATGGTCTCAATTTACCACTTGTCTTACGTAACATTAGCAGGCTCATACAGTATTGATAGAGCATACAGTCAAAGCTTATCAACTTATCTTAAACAAGCATCAGCTTTATATAGTACTCCTATGACACTATTACAAGCAGGAAAGTTTCAAGGCCACATGACATGTAACTAATTAAGAAACTACCAAAAACAGTAGAATTACACTGTGCCTAGTAGAAAATTATTAAGCTTGCATGGAACTTCTCAAAATAAACATGTTCAAGCCTATATAGCACCACCTCAACCACAAAAATGTTAAACCTGTGGTATTATGATAAGTAGGAATTTTTAAAGGTAATGTACCTAACATAAAGTTATCAGGGAAGAAAGGTAATGCATCTAGCAGAAAACTATCAAGGTAGCATGGTAGAGTGTCAAGACAATAAAGTAATTACTTTAGTGGATAGATATCAAAGCTGCATAGACCTATGTTTAACAGAAAGGTATCAAAGTTGTGTGATACAACACAGAATATTTAATGTTATGTAGCATTAGACTTTGAAGTAAATGTTCAGGGCTATGTGGTACTATGTTGAAGAAAGTGTCAAGTGATACTTCATTAAATAGGAATGGTTTGTGTTTATGTTGAATTTATTTTTCAGCATATTCAACATCATGCATATTGGTTCAGACTTTTAGTTTATTTGCAGCATCTTTTTTTTTAAATACATATTTGAATGATAACTTTGTTTGGGAATCAGTATCTAGAACAATAATTAACTTTATTGCTTTGTTAAATAATTTCTCATATTGTAATGCATACTTATATTTCTGTATTTTACTCTCTCATAACCATTTGTTCATAAAAACATAAAAATGTTAAGACTTAAGAAAAATAATTCATATTAAAAATATTTTCTTTATATTCTTAGCATTAATCAATCTTTTGAAGTTCATGTTGAGTCATGAGTCAGACCTAGTTAAAAAGTACAACACTTTCCAGTTAGCTCATCAGGTACGTCAAAGCGTATTTTCCTAAGATATTGATAAGTAATGTTCTAAAACCTTTTATAGCCAATTTTATAGAACAGTTGAAGAGTGCCATCATTTGAACCTGCAAATTATTTCTTTTTATATTGTATTCCTTTATCAATGACCTGTAATATAAGAAATTGATTATAAAACACCTTTCTAAGAGTTAGTGTACATACTTGTGACGTATACTTGCGTATCTTTGTTTTCATATATACTGTGAGTTGTATAATCTTTGATCATTCTTAACAATGTTTCACATTTAGTATTAAGTTAAATCTTTCATTCAGATAAATTTCATTGTTACTCACATCTAGTTTACAGTTCAATCTTTAATCTCGTTTAATGTCATGTTAAGTGTACAGTTAAATCTCAAATTCAGTTAGATGCCATTGTTGCTCACATTTAGTGAACAGTTAAATCTTTCATCTAGTTATATATCATTGTTGCTCAAGAGTTAGTCTAAATCAAGTGGTTTTCACTTTGAGTTTAATTGTGGAATATGTTTTGTTCCTTCATAAACATGAAACTCGTAGTTACAAATTAAAGTTTGGCTGTAATTAACTTCACAATATAACACTAATTAGATAAAAATTTGGATTATAAATATTCTTTCATTACATCTTAGAACACATTTTCAAATGTTTTTGATGAGAATTTGCAAGCTAGTTGTTTGTTTTTAGAAACTTTACTGGGTAGCTGTTACTTCAGAAAAGCTAAATATACAGTTTATACAATATCCTGGTTTATCTATGCATGTTTAAAATAATAATTTGACTTCCAAAGAAAGTTGCCAGGTATCTACATGAATTGGGCATCAAAGACTATTTGAAATGTTTTCTATTAACTAAAAATTTAATACTATCTGCTTCAGTGGAATTAGAGTATAATTCTATAAATGGGGTGGGGGTGGGGGGTGAAAAGGAGGTCAAAATGTAGGAAAAATTTGTAAATTGTCACCTTTTTAAATCTTAGAACCTGCACATTCATGCAAACTCAGCTGTCTAGTTATATGATAACATAGGCCTGTGAATGTAAACTTCTTAAAAGTTATTTTGGTTTTAATAATGGATTTCCCATAATTCAGCTATGCAGATCTTGAAAATAATATAAATTTTTTTCTATTACATAAGGATTTTTTACAAATTGGGAAGGAAAAAAAAACTCTTACTTAGATCAAATTATTTCATTTACCACAATGAATATTTTTTATTGTTATGTGTGTTTCTCGTGGTTTCTAGAGCAATCAATAAGACACTTTGTGATTGGTCCAGTGAAATCTGTAGCCAGTGGTTGTCAACATTTTAAGCATAACAAAATGTGACCCAATTTCAATGAAAATGATGCACTTATGTAAAAGTACATATGACATTTTTTGAAACCTGTGGTTGATGAGCCAAGTATACACCTGGAAAAAAGTTAAGCACCCCGTGTTTTTTTCAAGTGATTCAGATTCGACGTTCTTGTGACTGATTATAAATTACCATTGAATCTAAACGTGTTTATCAAATGAA